AGAGTCGTCCATATCGAATCCGACACCCTGTATAAGTGTAAGTTTAGAATGAATTTTTCCTCCAACTTACAACGCACGAAGTTCACACCGCGATATTCGACAAACGACGACACGTACTATCATTTTATTCTAGATTTAACAATTTTTCATTTTCAAGATTAAACCATTCCTTTCTCTAAAATAAATAGGATTGGCGCTACGTCGATCCTATTTTATGATACATTCAAGTGTAATAGCATTGGATCCGGAATTTTTTTCTGTGGGTGCAGCCGGCAGTAATGAAAACGATCGCAGATACAAATATTTCGTGCCGTCGTGTAATTTGCCACAATTACAGAGAGAGAGAGAGAGAGAGAGATAGAGTAACCGATTTCCCCATGTCCGATTGTACGGTCCTGCCATTGTTCGGCCGCTGACAGAGACCCGACTTCTATACGGAGCGACAGGGTCTACGCGGAACTCGCGTTCAATGCCCATCACGGATAAGACCTTTAATGGCGCGGCGAAGAAACTCGCGACGACCGGCCGAGCTGAAGATCGATCCCCGGTACGAGGCGGAGAGGCCCTCGATCGTGTTGTTGCCCGCAGTAAGAAAGTAATCGACGAAACGGCGAGGCGCCCCGTAAGGAAAAGTGGAGCGTCCGCGCCCGTAATTTGCGGATTTCACTGAAAAGCCAAGCGCGAGTCCGTCTCGCCACGATTTCGTTCCTCGCGGGTCCCTCGCTCGCGCGCTCACGATCGCTCGTGCCGATCGGGCTCGGCAACGTAAGAAAGTGATTCTATTCGCGTCCGAGCAGGCCCGATCGCGGCCGCGCTCGCGCTCGCACGCGCGCGCGTTTTCACTCGCGCGCGGAGAGCGGAGTAACCTATTTTATCCCACGTTCTCCAGGTCCGGCCGCGGAGCTTTTCCGAGCCGATTTCGCGAGAACGAACGGACAATTAGCCGTTAATTATAAAGCCTCTTACCGTGAGATTAGCTCGCGTATTAGTTGGGCGTCACGGATGGAAGGGACCGGCCGTCTCTATCTCGCGCGGCTCGCATTCGTGTCGATGACTTTCGAATCGTCGCGCCGCGCCGCGCCGCGCGCGATGGGAACTACGCCACCGTAATTAAATCTAATCAAGAAGATTTCGCACGTGCGAATGACGTGCGTCCGACTATCTCGCGCTCTGGCGCGAACAAGCCGGATGTCGATAGCTCCGACGTAACCACGGCACGTTGTTGGAACAATAATCTGTTAACATCGGTTTCACGGCTCCGCATACAATGACGGATTTCTCGCAGAAATGTTCGCGTTACATAAAGCGACAGTCTCGCGTGTACGTACGTGCACAGAGAGAGAGAGAAAGAGAGAGAGATCGATGTAGTTATCGTCATCCGTATCGTGACCGAATAACCCGGGCGTTTTGCCTCAAAGCGGTGTACGCCGATCGAAAAGAAATCGCCGTCGTGCGATTCACCGCTCCGAAGACATTCGCGGCACGTTTCGCTCTCTTGCCTTAGTGCTATCGGCTCGTACGAGTCGCTCACCTGTTGTTCTGGCTCGCTACCAACGACTCACTGACATTCAACGAGGTCGCGCGGGACACATTCCCAAACTTCGCGCAGGAAATCGAGCTGGAAAACAACAGGCGGAGAAAGAGAGAGAGAGAGAAAGAGAGAGAGAGAGAGAGAGGAGACTTCGGAGGAGGAAAGACGGAACGATACTTCCCGACCGACGGCTCGCGGCGGACTGGAGCGAGCGCGCGGCGCGCTGCGCGTCGCCGCCGAGCGAACGCGACAGGGAGAGGGGCGGGCGCGGGCCGAACGCGGACGAACGCGGCCGATCGCGTCGAGAGCCAGCTGGTCGTGGGAGTCGGAGTCGCCCGCCGCTAGGTAGATTATTCGGTGAAACGGAGGCTGATATTGGGTGGTGGTACCAGCCACGGTCGGGTCAGCCGCGGCCCGTCCTCATCATCCACCTATTTCCCCGCGATCCGTTCGTTATCCGCTCGCGTCGGGAGGAAGAAACTTTTTTTTTCAACGAGCGGCAGATTGAGCGATTACTCGCGGGGAAACGCTCCCTCTACGCCGGTAATGAAATTTCCATCTCTGATGATGGAATGACGAGAACGAGAGAGAGAGAGAGAGAGAGAGAGAGAGAGAGAGAGAGAGAGAGAGAGAGAGAGAGAGAGAGAGAGAGAGAGAGAGAGAGAGAGAG